GACATGTCTGAATTAATTAATTATTTTTAAAAATAATCTAAACTTTGATTTTGATACAGAATACAATGATAACCTCATTAAATTACAATTTCAAGAATTATATTAAAAAACCTAAGTACGAAAATGAATATTGCAATTTTGGATTGCCACAGGCCACATATAATATGTGGTGATTGAAGGTTGTTTTTTTTTATATATATATGAAAAAAAACAAAGTTATTATTAAGCCAATTCCAATTTAAAACCTCAATCACAAGTTCGAGATATTGATGTGCGATGGTTATGTTTTTTCCTCGTAGGAAGATAGAAGTGGTTTCTCTTGGACTTCTAGAAGTCTAGTCATTCCTTCAAACACGTTTGGATGGTATTGATGTAGAAAAGTGAAACTTGAGGGGCATTCGTTGTCTAGTTCGGACCATAAATGGACCAATGGATGTCCTCATTTTTGACACGATGATTGGTGCTGTATGTTAGCTGTACAAGAAAGAACATCCACAAACTGAAAACCTGAGAAAGCTTTGGAGAGTTTAAGGTATGCGAAGTAACTCATCATCTCTTCATTAAATTTAACAATTAAGTATGATTTTCTATATGGGTTTTGTCTGAAATTGAGCCTTGCTTTTTTTCTCTGGGTGGCCTGAGTGTTTGATTGACTAAGGTTTTGGCCTGAGTTTGAGGTCCAAGCTCATGTCTCTTGGAGATTTTATGAGTTTAAGGATATAGTTTGGTGTTAGAATTCATGGAACTGAGTTTTCTTTTCTTGTTTGAATTGAAATTTAGCATCTTTACGGGGGGGATTGAAAATTTAGTTCTTGTAGTATAGCTGTACACATCCCTTTAAAGTTTTAGCTATGTGTGGGTATGAAATAATTATCATGGATTTTAGCTGTTTAAGGAGTGGAAAAGGCATGCTTTTGGATGTTGATTGCTTAATTATGCTTGAAAATTAGTGTTAGCATCGTTGAAAGATTAATCAGATTTGTTCCAGGCAGGATTTAGGCTGTTTTTTGTCACCGGAAATTTAATGGCTAATGAATTTTGCAAGTTTGATTTTTATTTTATTTTTGGTTTGTGTAACATAGATTTTATGCTTTAGCATCTGGGAATGATTTTCTTTTATTCCTTTTATTCCTTTATCTTTCTTGTTTGCATGTCGGTGTGTCCACTACAAGCACTCTTTGGCCTTTAAGTGCCTTTTCTTCCTCTTTTACCTGGTTGCTTTTGTTGCTTCCGTTGAGTGAGTTGAATTAGTACCAAAAGTAATACTGTAAATTCTAGTTGAGATAATGGAACTTGTTTTTCTGGTTGATGATATAGCTTCAGATTCTAGGGTTGGTCACTTTTAATGGTTGATGATGATCAATCATCATTATGGAATATAATTTTTCATCTTGATTTAATTATTTTTCCAACCCAGAGATGTTCTTATACATCAGTTTGCATTTTCTTTTGGATATAAATGAAGTTGCTCTATGCTTCTGCAAAACTCAATGCCTGTATTCTTGCAAGTTTACATTATTTCTACGTTGCTGCTTTTAAATTAGTCTGCAATAGTGGGTTTCAACAGCATAGTTTGATTGATATCTGAAACTGGGTTGGGGAGAACGGATTCACAAGTCCTACCTCTAAATGGTAGACCTTGTATTTGTTCTCAAATCTTGTTCAATATTTCTTCTATGGAGTTTGAACAAAAAGCTTTTTTAAAATTGATTGCTGAATTCTCCTTTTTTTTTTCTTGGGGACGAAACCTAAAGCTGAAGTTTATTTTGAAACAAAAATGTAATGTTTTCCACAGAGATGCTTCTTGAAATCTTTTCCCTTTGCTGTTTCCACCAATGAAATTACAGTCAATGATCTATCCCTTGTTATAAGCCGGCCATCAGGGTATGAGAGCAAAGCCTTGGCCTGGCTCTTTACATCCTAGAGATGCAATGACCCTTGACTACCAGCCCTGATCCAAGTCAAGACGTTTTCACCTTTTCATTTACCTGCTTATACAGGCTGCCTTGTTGCCAAGTCTATGATTTTTCTAGTGCAACATTCTACTGTTAAATTAGGCAATAAATTGTACAATAATACTAGGTTAATTTGGTCCCTTCATTATTTTCTTGGATGGTCTTTATACCTATTGTGATTATCACTTGCTCTCCCTTGACTGTTTCTTTTTCAAATAGCTTTCCCAACGCCAATTTTCATTGATTATGTATAATCTTACTGTCTGTCCTTCCTTTTAACAGATTTCGGTGATCCGTTAATGCATTGCTGAGGATAACAGAGCTATTTTTCACAGCTTAAATTTTGTGGTGACGAGTGAATTGGATCAGAGACTTGTTGGCTGCCTCACTATTTATAATTTTTTAGTGATTATAGCATGTAGCATTCTAAAAGTCGTTGCTTTGGCCAGTGAAGGTGATAATTCTAATAGAAAAGGCTAGTTATCACTTATACATTCTCTTGTCTGAGCTGAGCCAATCAGCGAGCCAGTTCTTGATGCAAACCTCTCAGAAACACCGATCAGCTGGTATCCACAGGTTTTACCACCAGCCAGTGCAAGAGATCGATCCATATGGTTTATCTCATATCCAAATTTTAAACAATATGTATTCAGATGGTGGCAGCCAAGGAGCTGCAATTTCCTTTCAGACAGATCAAGGAGAATTCTTTACCTTGGAATCATCTTCAGCAACTGCTGGTTCCATTAACTATGATTCTCCTGCTGCTAGCGTCTCATCCAACAGAAGCCCGTTTTCACCCCAGGGTTCTCATTCATGCATTTCTGATCCTCATCATTCCCCTGACACTGCATATGGATCTCCATTGAGTGGATCATCATCTGCTGATGAGGACCATATATTGAGGCAGAAATTAAGGGAGTTGGAAATTTCATTGCTTGGGCCTGAATCTGATATTACTGACAGTGGGAGTTTTTGCTTTGTGAGTGGAGGATACCAAGCAGAATCATCTGCAAGTTGGGACTGGAATCAAATGATGGAAGTGATCCCTAGGTTAGATCTTAAGCATGTGCTTCTTGCCTGCGCTGATGCAGTATCAAATGCTGATATACAAAGAGCAGCAGGTCTAATGCATGTCTTGGACCAAATGGTGTCAGTTTCTGGAGAGCCGATCCAGCGGTTGGGTGCTTATATGTTAGAAGGCCTTAGGGCTAGGTTGGAACTCTCAGGAAGTAAAATCTACAGAGCCTTGAAGTGTGAAGCACCAATTAGCTCGGATCTGATGACTTACATGGGTATTCTCTATCAGATCTGCCCATATTGGAAGTTTGCATACACATCAGCTAATGCTGTCATTCAAGAAGCCGTGGAATACGAACCCAGAATTCATATCATCGACTTCCAGATTGCACAGGGAAGTCAGTGGAGTGTTCTAATGCAGAAGCTTGCTTGTCGGCCAGGTGGGCCCCCAGTAATCCGCATAACTGGTGTTGATGATTCTCAATCTGCTCATGCTCGTGGTGGAGGACTTGATATTGTGGGTCAAAGGCTGTCAAAAGCTGCCGCGGAATGCAATGTGCCATTTGAGTTCCATGATGTTGCCATGGATGGTTGTGAGGTTCAACTGGAACATCTCAGGGTCCAACCTGGGGAAGCTGTGGTTGTGAATTTTCCTTATGTGTTGCACCACATGCCAGATGAGAGTGTGACCACTTGGAATCACAGAGATAGATTGATAAGGATGGTGAAGAGTTTGTCACCTAGGATTGTGACCCTCGTGGAGCAAGAATCCAACACCAACACCAAACCATTCTTTCCAAGGTTCATTGAGACTCTAGATTATTATACAGCTATGTTTGAATCAATTGATGTTGGTCGCCCCAAGGATGACAAGCAGAGGATTAATGCAGAGCAGCACTGTGTGGCTCGTGACATTGTCAATATGATCGCTTGTGAGGAAGCTGAGAGGGTTGAACGGCATGAACTTCTTGCAAAGTGGAGGTCTCGATTTACAATGGCAGGATTTAATCAGTACCCTTTGAGTTCTTCAGTGACTACTGCCGTTAGAGATTTGCTGAAGGAATATGACAGGAACTATAGTGTTCAGGAGAGGGACTGGGCTCTTTACCTTCGGTGGCGACATAGAGACATGGCAACTTCTTCTGCCTGGAGATGAAAACTCGGTAGTTTTAGCTCTTTAACACCTGTAAATGTAATCTTACCGTTTTTATCGCATTTAGAGAGTGATCAATAGTGATGTTACTGTTTTCACAGAAATTGGACTGTTTTTTTTTTTTTTTTGGGATTCAGTTAGTGCCGAGACAAAAACACGATACCACAAACCATTGTACATGCCCACTATGGAATGAAACAAGAATAGGTATGTGTTTTTGCAGTCTCCGAGATCAAACCATGCACTTTCTGAACATTGTTAACAACATCAATGCTGAATGTGCAAGCTATCCATTTTGAGGAGCGTTTTGTTTTTAGTGAGAGTGGAACAATGTCCAAACATGAATGGCGTTTCTTTCAAAGGACGTTTGGTGAAGATGGAAATTCCATTTCATGATTATGGTTAGTGTAGACTCCGTCATATTTCAAGGGATCTACTCGGATAATAACAGTCAATCCATCCATGAAAGAATACCCTCAGGGAAAAAAAAGTAATTTAATGTATTTTTAGTTTTTCTTATATATAATTTTGATGCATTATTATTAAAAATATAAAAAAAAACTATATTAATATATTTTAATTAAAATTATTTTTACAACGTACAACCAAATCGTTTGATGGTACAGAATTTCAAATATATCTTAAATATCAGGAATGTTAGATGTTCCAGGAAAGTGACCCCCTCCCATAAAAAAACTACCTTTCCTCTAAAAGATCAATTTTTTTTAAAAATATTGATTACTTTTGTAACAGTACTGTCTTCCATAAAAATAAGATTAATATTTTTTGAAGCAATAAGCTCAGCCCAATTGGCCCATTGTAGGTGTGGATTTCAGTTCCACATAACAATTCTTTTGATCCCAGCACGGAAGGGCCCCATAATGCTCCATTCTAATTAGATGCAAAAGAACCGAGTGATTAGGCCTAAATCATGCATCATATTATACTGATTTGGCAAAATTTGGTGTCCACCATTTAGCAGTCAACCCGTCCGAAACAAAACAAGGGCAGTCCCAGACCTTGTTTATCACCGTGTCTCTCTAATAAACCAAGAAAACAAGCAAATCTTAGTTCCAACATTAAAAAGATCATATTTTTTAAGGTTAGTTTGACAATTTCTTGCATTATACTTTTGTTTTCTTGTAATGCTTATCTTGTCTTAACAATGTTAGTCATGAGATTCATGTGGTCTCTTGGTTTCTGAATTAGATGAGAAATGGATGATGGGTTCTGTTTATTTTCATAAATTGTAGATGATAGTGTTGTTTCTGTTTCTCATCTGCGGAAAGAATACGTGAAAGCTAGTCTTTAATACATTTTTGTTGGTTTTGTTTTGGTTGTGGAGGTTGTTGATTTTGGATTTGTATTGCTTGGATTTTGACGCCTAGGAGATTTTGATGCGTGGGTTGGTGGTGGTTTTGTTTATGGGCTCATAAAGTTTGTTGCTTTATGTATTTTGGTTGGTAAAGAACATCTTTTTTTTTTGCTGTTTCTGTGTTTTGAATGCAGAAAGATTGGTCTAGGTTGTGGGTTTGTTGAGTTTTTAGGAAATAATTGAAGAATTCTGGAGGAATTAACAGAAAGAGCAGTGTTGATGGATTTGCAAAAGGAGCAAGAAAGAGAAAGGCGTCGATTACGGGACAGGCAAAGAAGGCAAGCAATGAGTGTTGAAGAGAGGGAAAAACATCTTGCGAGACGACGTAGAAACTATCAGTTGCGGAGACAAAGAGCGCGAAATGTGAGAGACCCTCAGCTCAGTCAGGCCAGTCTGGTGGATAGTGACGAAATGCTTATGCTCCCCAGTAACGGGAATAATCAAGCAGTAATCTCTGTTCCTGCCCAGTCTAATGGAATTTCTGATGTCGATTGGGATCAAAGACAAGGACGTGTAAATGTAGGCAATGCAAATTCTGTGGGTGAGTTTTGTGATTTTTGTAATGCATTTGATTTGAAGGCAGCCTGATACTCACTAATAGTTTATTCAGCAGGTTTGGAAATTCCAGCACATAAGTTAGCTAAATTACCTATAAGGTCACGTCTAAACCATATAAAGCACCTTGCTCGGTCACTGGCTGATACTCTGGATATTGGTGATAGTCACAAAATTACAGCAGATTTGACGATGACTGGAGACGCAACTTTCAACTGTAAGCTTTAGTATTGTTATTTTCATTTGATCCCGCATCATAAATATTTGTTTGAAATTATTTGTCAATTGAGTATCCCATGTTAAATGATTCACATGGTTATACAGACATTTGTGCATGTTCCACCTTATAAGTTCACGCATTGAAACTGTGGTCCAGGCACACCACCAAAACCATTACGATTGAATCGTGTTAAGCATCTTGCACGGGTATTAAGCTCTGATGTAACACCGACAACTGTCCCAGATCGCAACGGTGAAACAAAGGGTAAGAAATACATGTTTAAGTTTGCATAGCTATCTTTTGCTTAGTCTGAATCAAGGAATTCTTTAATCCAGTGGAACAGAATCTGTCAAGTGGAGAACATCTGATGAGTATAAATCTGCCTAAAGTTGTTCAGACTATCAACTTTAGTGGTGGAGATGAATGATTGTGCTCCACTGGTAACGATCATGAATAATTTTACATGGTACTTGCTGGTTAGGGCACACTTTTCATATACAAGAGAACCATGGCTGGAGATTTAATGAGTTTTTTCCTGTTTATTTCACTGTCCTTCCCCCCTGGGGAATTGAAGAAGGAAGCTTTTTCTCAGACACATACAAGGGATGGAATTTTCCAAGCTCCTTTAAGTTTTTCAAATCGAATATAATGTGAGGTAGATAAGTTACTAATCTTTCATAGTACTTGCCTTGTTTTCTTGATGTAACTAATTCATAGAACAAATAGTTTGCTTTTATTATGCATTTATTCTTTGTAATACAATCCATATGCTATCATGTGTCTGCTGTCTCTTATTTATAATCATTTGGATCTGAGAAACTTTCTGTGGATAATTGCTACAATTTCTTCTGGAAAGTTTGCTTGCAGCGTGTTCCCTAATTTAACTGGTTTAGTAATTTATGTTATATATTTTTTACAAGTTCTGGTGAATGCTGAATAAACAGGATGGTGAAGAGTTTGTAGTAGTTTTCTAGGTAGCAAACAAGATCTCATACTTTTACTTCACGCACATGTAAACTGCCCTTTATGAAAATGTTTCGAGCATATATTATGAGTGCCCTAACCGACATATGATGCTGTCATTTTATACATGTCAGCACAAAGAACAAGGGTTGAGCTTATGTGAGGGATGAGAAGGATTAAGTAGCCGGTTCAAATATTAAAGGTCAAGGGATGGCTGGTATTTTTTACATTCATTGCATGTGATTGATCATATGGCCTAAAGAACAACTGCATCTTTCTAAATATAATTATTCCAGAAACAAGTTATAAATGACTGCTTATCTGCAAAACGTAAAGCATGCATTGAGTATATTGGTGATTTTTGAATTTTCAAATTGCAACATAGATTAATTGCTTTACAAGTAAATGATAGTCCAAATTTATTTTGAGGGGTAATGGAAGAAAAACAAAAAAGATGCACCTTGCAATTGATTGTTGATGCCAACATGCTTAATTTTGAACTTCTCATTGAAAACTGAGGGTGTGTTGGGCAACTTTTGTTAGAGGCTTGTACTACACAGCATACAGAGTTCATCAATAATTTTCAATCTGGACTAACCACACTGTTGTTTTTCTTGTTATCCTGCAGCTCGAGGACAGAACAAGCAGAGGATGCTACAGAAAAAACATTGTACATATTGAATTGGACAAGGTGAATTTAGATTAGAGGATAGTTTGAAGCCTACAACTGGAAGCTTGGAGTGCATTTTTTTTTTCTGTTTTTCGTCGAGGATGTTTAAAAAGAAAAGGAGTTGTAGAAGCCTTAAACACCATCTTCGTCCATTTTTTATGTAATGAGGTTTGCTTGGCAAATCCATTATTCGGGTTGCATTGATTCTTTTAAGAAAGCTTTGTTGTTTTGTAGTTTTTCCTTTACTTTTGTCGTGTAGCTTGGCTCCATAGTTGTTACTTGTTAGACCTGATTCTGAACCAGCCAGGAAAATTCTTGATTACTGGATCATCACTGGATTTTTAGTTTATTTATTTATTATTATTATTATTATTATTATTATTATTATTTTGTAATTATCAAATATGACCAAGGAAAATTTAGTATTTTAGTGTAAATAAAATATTTTTTACTTAGAACCTGACCTGACATGGATGCGCGCGGATAATCTCATACTCTTTTGATAGCATGTTCAGCTATTACACTTCAGCTTTCATAACGTTTTAATCCTTAATCCTTGTAGAATCGTCTCCGTTAATGGGTATTTTTATTTTTTAGATTGTTATTTTTTTTAATATTTTAGTTTATTTTATTTTATATTAAATTTTATGTTTTTATTGCTATTTTTTTATTTTTTAATGTATTTTATTAAAAAAAATTAAATTTTATCTCTTCATATTTTATTGATTGGGGTTTTGTTAATTTTTTTGATTAATTTTAAAGATTTCAAGGATTGATTTAGGTATTTTTATTTTTTTTTACAATTAATTTTTCATGATTTTTTTTTTTAACAAGCTTATCTTAATTTTATATTTTAGATATTGCATGTTAACTTATCTTGATTCATACAAATATTTTTTTTTAATTTGTTAATGTTGTTGTGTATTTTTTATTATATCATTAAATTAATTAAAATTTAATTTAACTCTTAAATTTTTCTTATTTAAAAATATTATCGTTGTCTAAATAGTTTTTTCTATGCTTAAATAAAATTTAATCTAGTATGTGGCTGGTACACCAAACTAGTAATGTTATATCATTAATTGTAATAGAACTTTTAATGAAATAATATTTTTTAAAAAAAACTATATTTTCCTGTTCTTTATAAATATACGTAATAAGTTATGCCCAAGAAGAATGGGCTACAAATCGGTCTGGCCCGTAATAGGTAGGCCTCTTGTTAGCTAGGGCAACTTATACAAACCCTAATGACACTGTCGGCTATCCTCTAACCCTCACTTCATCATCAGCCACAACATATTCATCCAACGGTCCAAAATCAACCCACGAAATTCTATAAATAATTATAGTTGCTTCTTTCATTCTGCCTCCAGCTCCACAGCTTTTGCCATGGCCAACAACGCAGTTTCTTTCCAAGCTTTGCTTCATATTCTTCAAAGATTTGATCTATTCAAAGTTTTGATCTTTAATCGTGTCTTGAGGTTAATTGAAATAATGTTTTTTTTTCTTTAGTCTTTTCTCTTTGTTATTAATATATTTTTAGGTCTTAATCATGGTTAAGACTTGTGTTAATTGTGACGGGGATTTGAACTTCAAAATCCTTACTATAACATTGGAGCAAACGATTTGTATCAATGCTTGTAAATTCCAATGTAAAACGTCACAAATAAAACCTCAGACATGTTGAGGTCCTCCACCTGGAGCTCCTCCGTGTGATGGGGTGGTCTCATATTCCATTGCCTTGTGTAGCAGCGTCGCTGCCTTTACAATTTGGGACTGGCCATGAGACATACATTCATATTCTCTTAAGCTTTTGTTTGAAAATGTTATTTCAATGTTAATTGGTGTAGCCTATGATGAAAATTTTCACCAAATTACCATCTTTCGGGACTGAATGGCTTACCAAGCCTTGCTGTCATTCTGCAATTCTGAGGCACAGGTTCTTATCTTTTTCTTTATTATTTCTTTAATTGGATTGTTTCTTACTTCTAAAGTTAATTTTTATTTTTTAAAGGGACTGTTCATGAGCCATATCTAGTTAGGTTGGCCGTGGATGGAATTGAAATGATCTCTAAGACCTCTAAAAGAGGTTGTCTACCTCCCTTAACAAGAAACTAGTCTTGATTTTTAGAACATCTCCAATGGGAGATGTGATTTAGAAGAGTTAAATTGATCAAATCACTTTTTAAACAGTTTTAACAGGGGGGTTTTATGGTTACGTGCACTCCTATTATCATGAGCTCAAGCTTAACGGTTTAAGTGTTGCCCCAAGGGCAAAGGGCACAGATACTGAACAACATATGGAGTTATTAATGAGCGAAGTCCCTGACAGAGAAATGGTGTTCATGCTAGGAGATAATGGAACCTTGAGTGCCTAGAACTTCATCGGGTGTCCCTTCACAAGGCAAGACGTGAAAACTTTGTGAAACTACTCAGAAGGGGTAAAAACACGGCGATTTCTTTAACTTAATAAGCAGACATTATCAACCTCATTAACCATGCAAAGTGCTTTCATCGCCAACCCAAATGAATGCTCATTAGGGGAAACACCCTTGCTGAACTCGCATCGAAAACTTTAGATCCTTGGTGCGCGGCTGGTCATGTTAAGCTTAATATAATACTAAAGGATAAGAAATTGATGGAATTAAAATTTCGAAGAAGTGAAAAAAACAAATGAAGACTAAAATTTTTCTTAGGGCCGCACCAAAACTCCACACATGTATGTTTAAGTGTATTGTTAATAATAATAATAATAATAATTGGATGCAACACAGACAAGGAGAAGCTACAAATATATCCGACAAAACAATACATGACCTAAACCTTGGCAACAATAAATTAATAAACACCCTTCATATCCCAATAACAACCTTGTAGCTCATCCGGGCAAACAAGCTTCTCCCACAATATGCCATCACCAAAATAAAAAGGGATTCTAAGAACAATCCCTTCCTCTTTCATTCGCAATAAAGATTACGCGTTCATTGAGTGACAATAGTCCTTTTGGGTACCAGCCCATTTCAATATCTCCGTCGAAGATTTCTCATCAAGTGGCAATTCAAGTTTACAAAGTTGGAACGGTGTTTTATCTTATTGATAGATCTTCCATGTGCTTTAAGGTCGAATGGTTGAGTCATCTTTCCCATTCTGTCTCATATACTGACTCATCATCTTTTGAGTTAACACCACTAAAGTTTCTAACAAACCCAGATGGAAAAAGTGATGAAGATTGTATTTTGATCAAAGATTGAAGGCTTTTGCTCACAGGGGATGCGAGCTTTGGTCCCTTCAATATTAGTGAACAAATAAGGCTTTTGAGAACGACTGAGCATCACGTACCTCGATAGAAAAACAAGAGGAGAGAGAACTGAAGATCAAGGATGCTATGTTTAGTTTGAGACAGAAGCTGAAGTAGAACTACGAAGCATAGATAGAGCAAAATTTTCGTTAATGAGTATTTATTTTATGATTTTTTTATCAACATTTTCAACTAGTAACAATAACAATAGTGAACTGAACCCAATTGGTTTTTTTTTCATGATTGCAATTGTTCAAAATCCCACATTCATCACAGTACAAATTTTTCCCCTTCCAAAAGATTTAACTGTGTGTACAATCCTACAAAGGGGGTAGAATATGCATCCTAACAATTCAGTCCTGAATATATTGCACCGACTGACAGCACAATAGCAAAATCAGCGTATTGTGATAATAAGAATAGTTGAGCTACGGACAGGAGCCACACTGAGCCTTCTGAGATTCCAGGACCATTCTTGCAGCTTCCACAGCAACTTGTCCGCTGACATAATGCTGTCGACATACTGGCATATAAACATCAGCCCCACCAATCAGTTCTGTCTGTGTCTCCTCGGTCTTTCTTAAGGTGAAGAAGGCACGTTTTCCACAAATTTCACATCGTGCGCTTAACTTGGTTACAGAATCAGCAAGGGGAATTATATCAAGAACGGAACCAAAATTCCTCCTGTGAACATTTTATTCCACTTTCAAAAGGGACACCATTGAATTTGAGAGGAAGGTTATAATATATGAAGTCATGAAACACAACTAAAAAAAGGGTAATGAGCAAGAACTCTGGAGAAGAGCACAAGAATGGGCACAAAATCATTGAAAATAAGTAGCGGGGAGCTTGAAATAAACCTCAGATAATCACCATCCAGGCCAGCAACTATCACAGTTTTGCCATCATGATCAGCAACTTCACGGCAGAAATCATACAAGTCTCCGAAAAATTGTGCTTCATCAATGCCAATCACATCAAGCTGTCATCAACTAATTGTCATTAGTCTTTATTATCAAGTTTGCATATCAAATGCTTGCAAAATGTATAAGCCCAACATCCAATATTCAAATGTTTTCCAATGCACTTCTTCCAAAAGAAATTTACCTTTCATTTTAAAGACATGAAGAATTAAAACTTCAAATGATGTTTAGGAAACTTAAACTGCTAAATTACTCATTTATGAGAGTTCAGACAAGTTGCTTAATAAATGCTTTGAGAAACGTTCTATAAAATACAAATTAACACATTTTGGAATTGAGATACCTGATCATAAGCATCCTGACCAAAACTCTGTTTGAATGATGATAGATTGGGCAGTGCGCAACATGGTAATTTAACCCCATCATGTGTCACTACTGAATCCAACCCATATCTATTATCCTTGTTTGATTTTATAATTGCTACGTTTCTGCATTACAGTTAGAAAAAGAGAATGAATTAAAACAACAACAAATATGCTGATAATAGGACACTTTTTAATTCCCAATGGGACACCACTTTAGACTACCTCACCAAAACTGCTAATTGGCAAATCCTAAATCCCAAATACAAGTTGGACATATATGTTATTTCCTACTTGCTATAAACTTTCAATTTTTACTGTTTTAGTATCACAACATAATCTTTTTATTTTTCTCACAGCAGCATCAGGACAGAATCTTAATTTTGAAGCGAGTATAAAATAGCCTAGTAAAAAGAAGAAATCTCAGGGTACAGTTGTTGCAAGAAAATTAAATTGAAATGGCTACATGTTAACATTGAACATGAATTCTGAGCAAATTATGACAAAAAAAACTAGAGAATGTTGGACCTTGATCAGGCAATGAATTAGTTATATTGATTAGGAGGGTATTATTTTACTATTATGAAGAATAAAACAAAACAAGCAAAGCTCAAATACAATAATACACAGACAGCTTTACCTCAGGTGATCAA